TGCCTCATTGTTCTTCCTTCTGCAGCCGGGAGACGGAGGGAGGCTGAGCTGAGGGCAGGTGAGAGGGACAAGCTCCTGGCTTGGTGACAGGTGTAGCTGGCAGGGAGCCTCGGGGAGCAGAGAAATGCCCCGACGGAGGGACTTGTCCTTCTCTAAAGAGGAGGGCACTTCGAGAACAAAAGCATGAGTGGGTTTGGTCCTATGCAAGGGGGCAGGGCCACGGAGAACACCGGGTGAAAGAAGATTCAGTCAGAAAAAGCTGCTGACCAGCTGCCCATCCCCTTGGCCCCCAGGGACCCGGTGGGCATCTCGGGGGCCCCCAGTCCCGCTTCTCCTCCCCTGCTCCCTGGTGCAGTGCTGGGGTGTCCTCTGCACCTTTCTCTCTGTCCCCCCACCTCCCCACCCTGTGCCCGGGCTCTTCCTTCCAGGCCTCCTGGCCCTGAGTGGCTGGAGCCCCCTATTCCACCACCTCCAGATGTGCCCCCATCACCTACACCCAACAGGTCCCCGGACGACATGCTGTGCCCCCGAGAGGCGGCCCCCCTGTGCTGGGCATGGCAGGCCTCCAGGAAGCACCCCCTGGCCCCAGCCCTGCCTGTACCCCATCCCATCCAGTCCTGCTTACTCTCAGGGTCCACTGCTCCAGCCGAGTGTCCCTCCTCTCTGCCCCCACCTGGGGGCCCAGACAGGCAGCTCCAAATGTCCTGTTCCCACCTGTCCACTCGGACCCGCCAGTGCCGGCCCTGCTCCGCCTCCCTCCAGGGATCCCTCCAGACGGTGCCCACCAGCTCGGCTCCTCAGTCCAGCAGCCCCTGGGTGGGGGGTGGCGGGCGGGGGGTGACCTGCATGCGGGGCCCTGCACCTCCCCTCACAGCAGCCCGGCCAGAGCCCAGGGCTGGTGGCCAAGCCACCGAGGGATGAGGGTCACTGGGCACCAGGCGTGGGGAAGGGCGTGGGAGCCATGCAGGTGCCCCCCCAAAAGCGGGGGCAGTGCAGGAGGCGCATGCCCACACCTGGCTGGACCCTGCCCTCCCAGGTGGCCCGTCTCAGGCCAGGAGCAGGACCCCAGGCTGACTTCAGACTCAGCACCAATTGGGGGAGCAGGCAGCCTGGGGGGCCAGGGGACCCGAGTCACGTCCCTGCCTGCACCCCGCCCCCAGGTGGCCTTCATCCACTTCTTCTTCAACGTGGCTGGCATTCTGCTGTGGTACGTGGTGCCCGTCCTGCGCCTGCCCATCCCGCTGGCCAAGCACTTCGGGGACCTGACGGCGCGCTACCGCTGGGTGGCGGTGG